CGATTCCGGGGAGCGGCGTGAGCTTCCGCTGTCAGCCCTAGCTTCTGCCAACCTAGCAGTTCGAAAACATGCAAATGTGAGTAGATTAATAGGTACTGCCCCAGTGGGAAGGTAACAGCGCTCCATGCAGTCATGCCGGCCACATGACCTTGGAGGTGTCTATGGACAACGCTGGCTCTTCGGCTTAGAAATGGAGATGAGCACCACACCCCAGAGTCAGACATGACTGGACTTAATGTCAGGGGACTACCTTTACCTATCATATCCCCTCTCAGCCTTCTCTTCTTCAGGCTAAACATGCCCAGCTCCTTAAGCCGCTCCTCATAGGGCTTGTTCTCCAGACCTTTTATCATTTTAGTTGCTCTCCTCTGGACACATTCCAGCTTGTCAATATCTCTCTTGAATTGTGGTGCCCAGAATTGGACACAATATTCCAGGTGTGGTCTAACCAAAGCCAAATAGAGGGGTAGCATTACTTCCCTGGACCTAGACACTATGCTCCTATTGATGCAGGCCAAAATCCCATTGGCTTTTTTTGCCGCCACATCACATTGTTGGCTCATGTTTAACTTGTTGTACATGAGGACTCCAAGATCTTTTTCACACGTACTGCTCTCGAGCCAGGCATTGTCCCCCAAAATGAAGTTCAACAGGGACAAATGCAAGGGGAAAAAAAGGTTGCAAAGACTTTCTGTATATATTTCAGATTTCAATATTCATGTCAAAAATACATTTATTTAGTTCGTGTCAAAAGCATTGCATAAATTAGTATAAAACTGATAAAAATAAAAGGAGCACAGGCAGCTAAATATCTTTTGACCAAAAACAGGCAACAGCAATAGCATTGTCTGTAGCCTCCAACAGTTCTTCCTCTGGGTTGTTGTAGGTTTTTCCGGGCTATATGGCCATGTTCTAGAGGCATTTTCTCCTGACGTTTCGCCTGCATCTATGGCAAGCATCCTCAGAGGTAGTGAGGTCGGTTGGAAGTAGGAAAAATGGGTTTATATATTATTATTATTATTATAACTTTATTTGTACCCCGCTAGCATCTCCCAAGGGATTCGATGCGGTTTATATATATATAAACCCATTTTTCCTATTTCCAACAGACCTCACCACATCTGAGGATGCTTGCCATAGATGCAGGCAAAACGTCAGGAGAAAAATTGCCTCCAGAACATGGCCATATAGCCCGGAAAAACCTACAACAACCCAGTGATTCCGGCCATGAAAGCCTTCGACAATACAGTTCTTCCTCTGTACATGTGGCAGGGCATAGTGGACAAGCATACAGATGCAGGGTTGTCCGTTCTGCTCCACAGTCACAAAAGGTGTGGGCTCGAGAGCAGTACGTGTAAAAAAGATCTTGGATCCGGAGCAGTCCTCATCATGGACGTTGTCACGGCCATCTTTGAATTGTCGTACCCACTTACACACTTTGCTTTCACTCATAACAGTTGTTGTTCATTCGTTCAGTCGTCTCCGACTCTTCGTGACCTCATGGACCAGCCCACGCCAGAGCTCCCTGTCGGCCGTTACCACCCCCAGCTCCCTAAGGTCAGTCCAGTCACTTCAAGGATGCCATCCATCCATCTTGCCCTTGGTCGGCCCCTCTTCCTTTTGCCTTCCACTTTCCCCAGCATAATTGTCTTCTCTAGGCTTTCCTGTCTCCTCATGATGTGGCCAAAGTACTTCAAGTTTGTCTCTAGTATCTTTCCCTCCAGTGAGCAGTCGGGCTTTATTTCCTGGAGGATGGACTGGTTGGATCTTCTCGCAGTCCAAGGCACTCTCAGAACTTTCCTCCAACACCACAGCTCAAAAGCATCTCTCTTCCTTCGCTCAGCCTTCCCTAAGGTCCAGCTCTCACATCCGTAGGTGACTACAGGGAAGACCATGGCTTTGACTAGGCGGATCTTTGTTGCCAGTCTGATGTCTCTACTCTTCACTATTTTATCGAGACTGGACATTGCTCTCCTCCCAAGAAGTAAGCGTCTTCTGATTTCCTGGCTACAGTCTGCATCTGCAGTAATCTTTGCACCTAGAAATACAAAGTCTGTCACGGCCTCCACGGTTTCTCCCTCTGTTTTCCAGTTGTCAATAATTCTTGTTGCCATAATCTTGGTTTTTTTGACGTTTAGCTGCAACCCGGCTTTTGCGCTTTCTTCTTTCACCTTGATTAGAAGGCTCCTCAGCTCCTCCTCGCTTTCGGCCATCAGAGTGGTGTCATCTGCATATCTGAGGTTGTTATTGTTTCTTCCAACAGTTTTCACTCCAGCCTTGCATTCATCAAGCCCCGCACATTGCATGATGTGTTCTGCATGCAAGTTGAATAGGTTGGGTGAGAGTATACAACCTTGCCATACACCTTTCCCAATCTTGAACCAGTCTGTTGTTCCATGGTCAGTTCTTACTGTTGCTACTTGGTCCTTATACAGATTCCTCAGGAGAGAGACAAGGTGGTTTGGTATGCCCATACCACCAAGAACTTGCCACAATTTATTATGATCCACACAGTTAAAGACTTTAGAAAAACAGAAATAGATTTTTTTCTGAAACTCCCTGCCTTTCTTCATTATCCAGCAGATATTGGCAATTTGATCTCTTGTTCCTCTGTCTTTTCTAAACCCAGCTTGTACATCTGGCAACTCTCGCTCCATGTATTGCTGGAGTCTTCCTTGCAGGATCTTGAACATTACTTACTGGCATGAGAAATAAATGCCACTGTATGAAAGTTTGAGCAGTCTTTAGCATTTCCCTTTTTTGGTATGCGGATATCAGCTGATTTTTTTCCAGCCTGATGGCTATTCTTGTGTTTTCCGTATTTTCTGGCATATGGCATGCATCACCTTAACAGCATCATCGTTCAAGATTTTGAACAATTCAGCTGGGATCCCGTCGTCTCCTGCAGTCTTGTTGTTAGCAATGCTTCTTAAGGCCCATTCAACCTCACTCCTCAGGATGTCTGGTTCTAATTCACTCACCACGCCATCAAAACTATCCTCAGTATTATTATCCTTCCTATACAGATCTTCTGTATAGTCTCGCCACCTTCTCTTGATCTCTTCAGCTTCTGTTAGGTCCCTGCCATCTTTGTTTCTTATCATACCAATTTTTGCCTGAAATTTACCTCCAATGTTTCTAATTTTCTTGAAGAGGTCTCTTGTCCTTCCTATTCTGTTGTCTTCTTCCACTTCCATGCATTGCTTATTTAAAAATAGTTCCTTATCTCTTCTGGCTAACCTCTGGAATTGCGCATTTAACTGGGCATATCTCCCCTTATCCCTGTTTCCTTTTGCTTTCCTCCTTTCTTGGGCTACTTCCAGTGTCTCAGCAGACAACCATTTTGCCTTCTTGGTTTTTTTTTTCTTTGGGACGTACTTTGTTGCCGCCTCCTGAACAATGTCGCGGACTTCTGTCCATAGTTCTTCTGGGACTCTGTTTACTAAATCTAGTCCTTCAAATGTGTTCTTCACTTCCACTGTATATTCGCTAGGAATGTTAGTGAGATCATATCTAACTGGTCTGTGTATTTTCCCTGATCTCTTTAGTTTTATTCTAAATTGAGCAATAAGAAGTTCGTGATCTGAGCTACAGTCAGTCCCAGGTCTTGTTTTCACCGACTGGATGGATGTCCGCCACCTTTGGCTGCAAAGGATGTAGTCAATCTGATTTCGGTGTTGACCGTCTGGTGAGGTCCATGTATAAAGCCGTCTTTTAGGTTGTTGGAAGAGAGTATTCGTTATACACAGTTATACACACGTGTATAACTCATAACAGTATCACTTCACAAATCTGTCGATGAATTTCTGCAGCAGGCAGGTTCCTTGCTGACAAAAACCATATCACTGAGCGAACCTCACATGCGGAGGGTGAGTTGATAGTCTTAAACATTTTTAAAGCACAGAACAGAACCGTACAGGTTAGCTACAGAGCGGAAACTGAGCACAGTTGTTCCCGAGGCATGCCGGTACACGACGCACGTGCTCATTGCGGTATGCGCGCGAACTACTAGTGTCTACAACAAAACGGATCTTACTTTAAAAATACCCCTCGTGTGTGTGTGTGTGTGTGTGTGTGTGTATACAGTATATTCTGGCGTATAAGACTACTTTTTAACCCAAGAAAATCTTCTCAAAAGTCAGGGGTCGTCTTATACGCGGGTGTAGTCTTATGCATGGGAGTCGTCTTAACTCTATATTTTAACTGGAAAAGTTGGGGGTCGTCTTATACGCCCAGTCGTCTTATATGCCGGAATATAGGTATATATAATTTGTCGTTTGTTCATTCCTCTTCCTTTACAGCATGCATTAAAAAAAGCTGTTTAGGCCTCCAACTCCCAGAGGTTTAGCCAGTTTGTTTAATGGTCAGGAATTCTGGGAGTTGGGGGGCCAAACTGCTGGAGGGCCACAGTTTGAGGATGCCTGCAATAAGGTTTGAAAAGCAGTAGGAAGATCCCATTACACATAGATTGATTCAGTAAAGGAAGTCACTTTGTCTCAGAAGTCTCTCATTCATTGACATACTGTAAATCAAAACCAACTTGATGGCTAATAGCAGGGTGCTTGACATTTTGAGTATGAGCAAAGTGAACAAAGTACACAGGATTAAGATGTTCTCCCATACATCCTCATATCAGTCTACTTTAAATAAGGCAGCACTGATTTAGGCAGACCCCTATGTCCCGTGGGAAAAATTGATGGGATAAGGGACAGGGGCCCCACAGGGCACAAAACCGAATACCTAACTGACAGAAGGAAGTGTTTTAATTTTTTTAGTGTTGGATAGGAGGTAATAAGATCAATGAGCAGCTGGGAAAAATGATTCCAGATTTGGAGTGTGTCTGCAGAGCCCCCTTAAGATCACTGTGTTAGACGAATACACTAGAGTCTAAAGCAAACAAAACATCTTGGATTTCTGTGTGGCCACTAAAGGCAAATATAACACATTACAATTTAATTCCATTGTTTTCCCATATAAGTATTACCACAAAGAAAAGATGGTTATAAAAAGACGCAGGAAAAGGTTTATTAAAAATCTTCCATACATGGTAAAAGGGGACTATTATGATTTTAATCTACTTTAACATATTTAATAGCTTATGACATTTACAGTAAATATATTGACATATTTACAAAGGAAAAAAACATGTGGTAGTAAAAAAAATTAAACATTCATAACTGGAGTCAACTGAAGCAGGGAACTGCAAGTAAGAGTTGTTCCATTCTGTATAGTCTTCTCCAAGCCTTCCATATTCAGGAGGAAGCTTCTCCTTTTCTTCAGTCCATCCAAGATGGCAGAACTAGCAGATGCCATACTTTGAGTTCTAGAAAAAAAACATTTTGCAAAACAAATGATTCAATATATTCATAACCACTGATTTCTCAATTACCTAGAGACAAAAAAAGATCAAAAATATTGACTGGATTAATAATGACAACAAAATAATCTTTATTTTGTAACATGTAAGTAATATGGAAGCTAGATTTTTTTTCACTTTAAAGATGACAAATATGAAGATTATTAAGCAGTGCTGGCAAAATCTGATACGCTATAAGGTAAACATAAGATCCTTTACAATGTTTTGTAAAGAGAAGCAGTTACTCAATAGATCTGTCCTATATTTTAAAGTCAGCCCTGGCTTGGAGAATTGAAATTATGGTCTATATCAGGGGTCCTCAAACCTTTTAAACAGAGGGCCAGGTCACAGTCCCTCAAACTGTTGGAGGGCCAGATTATATATATTGAAAAAAAAAACATGAATGAATTCCTATGCACATTGCACATATCTTATTTGTAGTGCTAATAACACTTAAAAACAATACAATAATTAAAATAAAGTACAATTATAGCAAATATAAACTTATTAGTATTTCAATGGGAAGTGTGGGCCTGTTTTTGGCAGATGAGAAAGCGTTGTTGTTATTGTTGTTTTATGCTTTCAAGTCGTTTCAGACTTAGGTTAACCCTAAGCGAGGACCGGGTAAATGACCTTGTAGGGCCGTATCCGACCCCTGGGCATTAGTTTGAGGACCCCTGGTCTATATTATATTAACTTTTGGCATAATTTAAATATATGCCACAGTTGTCACTGTATATTTTACAGCTAAACAATGGGTGAGCTTGCATTAAGCTTGCCCACTGCCAATTAGTGTCTTACCCAAAGGTGCTCTAAGCCTCAGAAGACAATGTTAGGACCAAAAGCATCCCCAGAATATATGCTTCCTCCTTCAGGAAGTGAATACCCCCCCCCCCCCAAATACTGAGTGTATTCTAAAACCCGTATTTATTGGTCCCTCAGGCTTCAATTGAGCCAACCACATCTTTCATTTCTTGGTTCTCATCCAGACCACTTCTAAGTTCAAGTTTGACACCTTTACAGCCTCACCTGGACGTGATGGCGATAAATATCATCTCATCTCATCTTTAATTACTTATTAATCGCCCTCCATCCGAGATGCTTCAGGCGATTTAAATTGCAGAAATTATACAGGATAAAACACATACATACAGCTATATATACTCACAACACTCTACATCAAATCCTCAGATGAACTCACAAAGAAGTTTTGATATCAATGGAAGAATCCCTCATTGATGAGTAATCCACGAGGCAAGAACTTTGATTGCCTAGTGCATTTTTATAGTTCTGACTATAGTTTCTGTCCCCTTTGCAAAATCAATAATTGTGGGGCTAATGTTATTCAAATATTCATTATGCCCCCACACCAATCATTAAATTAAAAAGAGAAAGAAGATGCAATGTTTACTTCCGGAACTGCACTCCTAATGTTACAAGAAAAAAAGGACATTCACGAGAGCCCTATATCAAGTTAAGATTGAAGACTGTTCGGAAGCTTCAATTGGTCCTACGAATGGCAGCCAGATTACTAACAGGAGCAGCGCTCAAGGAGCATACAACTCTGCTGTTGCACCAGCTAGTTTACTACCAGTTTACTACCAGGCACAACTCAAAGTGATGGCTTTCGCCTATAAAGCCCTAAACCAGTGGTCCTCAAATTAAGGTCCGGGGGCCAGATACAGCCCTCCAAGGTCATTTACCCGGATCTCGCTCAGGGTCAACCTAAGTCTGAAAGCACACAACAACAATCCTATCTCATCAGTCAAAAGCAGACCCACACTTCCCATTGAAATGCTAATAAGTTTATATTTGTTAAAATTGTTCTTCATTTTAATGATTGCATTGTTTTTAAGGGTTTTTTTACACTACAAATAAGATATGTGCAGTGTACATAGGAATTCATTCATGTTTTTTTCAAATTATAATCCAGCCCTCCAACAGTTTGAGTGACTGTGATCTGGCCCTCTGTTTAAAGTGTTTGAGGACTCCTCCCATAAACGGTTCTGGCCCAACTTACCTGTCAGAATGCATCTTCCCTTATGAACCATCTAAGACGTTAAGATAATCTGGGGAGGCCCTGCTCTCGACTCCGTCTGGGTCACAAATTCATTTTGCGGGGACGAGAGACAGGGCCTTCTCAGTGGTGGTCCCTCGGCTATGGAACGCCCTTGCTAGGAACATTAGATTGGCTCCCTCCCTTTTGACTTTCCAAAAAAAAAGTCAAAACCTGGCTGTTCGAGCAGGCATTTGAAAAGGCAGTGTAACAGACATAGGAATATGGAACAATTGCACTATGAGATTGGATTATGTTTTTATCTAGGAGACGAAATGATTTGCTTTTACTAATTTGTTATGGTCTTAATTGATATGTTAATGCTTTTAAATGTTTTAAATGTTTTTATAATGTTGTTGTCATTCAATCATTGCCTTGTGAACCGCCTCGAGTCGCCTGCGGGCAAACGTAGCAAATAATAAATAAATAAATAAATCTGTGCCCCCTAAATATTTGTGGGACTCCCACATCACCCCCTCAGCAGTTGTTATATTGGCAAGGGCTGATGGAAGCTGCAGACCAACAACATCAGTGAAGCTCCTGTTTAAGGAGCTCCACTGGCTGCCGTTCATTTTCCGGTCCCAATTCAAGGTGCAGGTTCTTACTTACAAAGCCCTGAACGGTTTGGGACCCACCTACCTGCGTGACCGCATCTCTATATACGAACCCACATGATCTCTTTGTTCATCTGGAGAGGCCCTGCTCTCAATCCCACCAGCATCACAGGAGTGATTGGTGGGGACGAGAGAGAGGGTCTTTTTGGTGGTGGCCCCTCGACTCTGGAACTCACTCCCTAAGGACATCAGGCAGGCCCCAACCCTGGCAGTCTTCAGGAGGAGCTTGAAGACGTGGTTGTTCCAGTGTGCCTTCCCAGAATAAGGAAAAAATTTTTAACAATATGTCCTCAAATGCACTTTAATATGGATTTAGGATTGTCTGCGCGCCCTCATCTTTCTTCAAAAATCCTATCCTATTTTACCATACCTTGTTCATGCCCAGTATTCTGAATTTTTATTTATTTATTTATTTATTTATTAGCTTTATTTGTACCCCGCTACCATCTCCCCAAGGGACTCGGTGTGGCTTACATGAGGCCAAGCCCAAACACAACAATACAAGCAATAAAACAGCAATACAAGCAATTAAAAACACAGACAATAAAATAAACATTATCAAAAAAACAACACATAATTAAAAACAGAGGGGAGGCCAAATGTAAAGTTAAAATTGGAGATATGCTGGGACATGAACGGAAGATGATACTGGTGTTTATGGAAGGGCATACAACCAGACTTAAAAAATGTAAAGTGCTTTGGAGGACAAAGTGCTATGGGATCATTATTCTGGGAAGGCACACTGGAACAGCCACGTCTTCAAGTTCCCCCTGAAGACTGCCAAGTTTGGAGCCTATCTGATGTCTTTAGGGAGTGAGTTCCAAAATCGAGGGGCCACGACCGAAAAGGCCCTCTCTCTTGTCCCCACCAATTGCGCCTGCGAAACTGGTGGGATTGAGAGCAGGTCTCTCCAGATGATCAAAGGGATCGTGTGGGTTTGTATATGGAGATGCGGTCACGTGGGTAGATGGGTCCCACACCGTTCAGGGCTTTGTAGGTAAGAACCTGCACCTTGAATGGGTCCGGTAGATGAAAGGCAGCCAGTGGAGCTCCTTAAACAGGAGGGATGACCTCTCTCTGTAAGAAGCCCTGGTTAACAACCTGGCTGCCGCTTGTTGGATCATCTGAAATTTCCAGGCCGTTTTCAAGGGCAGCCCCACGTAAAGTGCATTGCAGTAATCCAGTCTAGAGGTGACAATGGTGTGGACCACCTTGGCCAGATCCAATTTTAATTTTTACATTTGGACCAGCCATAGGTTTTAAATGCTGTATGTTATTGTTATTGTTTATTGCTTATTGTGTATTTTGTTTTTGAGTTCTATGTTATTTCATTTATTTTAACTTTTGTATTGATTATTTGTTATCACCTTGTTTATTGTTGAGCTGTGGGTTTGGTCTCATGTAAGCTGCACCGAGTCCCTTGGGGAGATGGTAGCGGGGTACAAATAAAGTATTATTATTATTATTATTAACATCTGCAGATCCACATACTTTTTTGAAGGATATACAAAAGAGCGTTAAGTGTTACAGATGACTTTTTTTACCTGGGAGAATCTATTCCACTATCTCCTGTTATGCTGTGGTTTCCAGTCCCTTCCAAGTGGTTTTGCTCATGCTGCACTCTCTGATCAAGAACTGCACCATCATTAGTGTTGTCAAATGACCGTTCCTTTCCCGCAGACTTTGACTTAATTTCCCATCCTTTCGGTGGCAGCGTCAGAGATGCTAATTTCCCACCTATTTCGTTCAACGATTTCTGCCAAATTCTGGTCTCTGCTTCATGGACATCGTAGAAGTCAAACACACGAGGTTCAACAATATTAGACATCCGCCCATGGTCATAAGCTTTATCTCTTTCTTCATTCTTTTTGTAAGCAAAAGGGGGTATTTGTTGGCAAATACAACTTTGTCCTTCAGGAGTTATGCTCTGATATTCCTTTAAGATACCCTTTGCTCTAGGAAGATTGTTAAATTCCCTTTCATCGTGGTCAGACATATCAACCTTGTGCATTCCAGTTCTGTATTCTTCAATACCCAGCTCCTGTTCTAAGTTTTCCCACATCCCTTTATTTAAAGAACTAAACGGGAGTTGGCTGGATTGTAACTTGGACAATTCCATATGTTGCTCCTGTTCACCACTGTGATATGAAGAACTGCAACCAACATCACCAGTGTCCACTTTCTGACATGCAGTTTCCACATCATACGTTAATCCTTTATATTGTTGGTTAATGGACTCCAGCCATTTGCTCGTGTCATCAGATTTCAGTTCATTCTTCAAATCTTTCCCTTCTCTGTGAGAAACAATATCTTCAGATTGTTCAAATGGGTGCACGACATCTGTATCACTGGGGAAACAGACATTTTGTAAGTGATCAAAATGTGGATCTAGTAAACCATATGTTCCAGATTGGTCACATAGATGAGCTTGACTGGAATTTCGTGAGCATGTCTTTTCTGCTCCTTCACCCATGGGTGCAGTATAAGTGTGAGGAGCTACCTGGATTGGTGCCACATGTTTTGGGTTCACTCCTCCATGTTCGCAGGGTGCATTCTCCCTCAAATATCTGTATTTACCATCTCTTTCTGAACCCTGGTATTGTGAGTAATGAAGTTTTTTCTTTTTTTCGTCATCAAAATCATATTTGACTGTGAATGACTGTCTGGCTTTAGAATCCCCAACTCTTGAAGAATTCACATTTCTTTGAAAACTTTCTGATCTAGACGTTCTGGGCTTTATAGAACCATATTTTTGCTTTTTGTGCTCTTTTGTTGACTTACTCCTTCTATAAGGAATATTTTGAAATGGATTATCGATTTCTTTTTTGTAGATGGAATGGGGGTTGATTTCTGTTGCATTTCCCATTGTAATACAAGATAATGGAAGTTCAACAGTGTTATCCGCTTGGCCTTTTGCTGTTGTTACTTCCTCATTTTTAAAGTCTCTCTGCGTCATACCATTTTGTTTTTCTTTGTTGGATTGGTTTTTCCTGTGATGTTTTGCAGCTTTACTTTGTTTTTTCCGGCTGCCTCGTCTGGAAAGATGTTTGTGCTTCATTGTCAACATTTCCGTAGAGGTTCCTTTACTGACATATTTCTTCTGCTCCTCTATTTTCTGCATCAGCACGGTGTGCTTAGTTAAGTTGTTCACTGTCAGTACTGGGTTAATACGCTTGATAATTTCATGTTCGACATCACGTGGGATGTTATCCAAATCGTCTTCATCCCGGACTGGCCATTCTTCAGGAGGAAACTGAGCAGAAAATGAAGAGTGGGTTTTTTTAGATTTTTCTTTCTTAGAGTGGCTGCGCCAGAAAAGGCTAAGACTAAACTTTTTCACCTTCTCTTTTTCTTTCACTGAATGGACAGAGTGAGCAGCCGTGCAGGAATGGTTGCCACCAGGTGTATCGGAGGCTGAATTCTGAACTGTAAATCTGGATTCGCCAGATCCTTTCTTAATTTCCTGGCTCATTAGCTGTTGAGGCCTCAGTTCACCCCTTGCAGTATGCTCAGGGAAACAATGACAGGACCTGCAGTGAGATGCAACAGGCAAATTATGTTGCTCAGTCTCTTGGGCCTCCATGCTTACAAGGTAAGTGACAGAAGGTTCTGGAGGGCAACTGTCTTCTAACAGGGCCTTCTTGTTGCCTTTCATGGAATTGTGAGAGGTGAAATAGGTATTTGGGGTCACTATGAAATATCCTTCTCCGGTGTGATATACCTTCCGTTCTTTAATCAGCATTCCAAGCGTACTGTACAGAATGTCGTGGGTGGGAGCTGCAATTCCTAGTAAAGAAAATAGGAGACTGTCACAATTTATTTCTGTAATACATTCAACATATATCTATATAAATAAAAATGTAATGTTTGTTTGTGGGATTAGCATAATTCAAAAACCACTGGGGGAATTGACACCAAATTTGGACACAATACATCTCTCAGGCCAACGAGTGACCATCACTTATAAAAAATACTGGAAAACACAGCAGAAGGGATTTAAAAAGACAAAAAAATAAATAAAAATACATTAAAAATGAAGAAGAACAAGAACAAGAAATCCAGCACTGCAAAGCTAGGCTACTCTTCCTGAGCATGCGCAGATGGTCATAGAAATATAATAATAATAACATAGAATAATAGAATAATAAATATATAATAATATAAATAACACAATAAAATAATAGAATCTATATAAATAAAATGTAATGTTAGTTTGTGGGGTGAACATAACTCAAAAACCACTGGACGAATTGACACCAAATTTGGACACAAGACACCTCTCAGACCAATGAGTGACCATTACCCATAAAAACACCGAAAAACACAGCAGAAGAGACCTTAAAAGCAAAAAACAACATTACAATGAATGTGCAAAACCATGACAGGGGATGGCTAATTCAAAATATGTTAGAATCCTTGCCTTCTAGAGGCTCAGAATAAATGTATATGGTAAGCCTAAATTACTCTAATGTCGTTCCCACTGTGTTCAATTGAACTTGCTCCCAAGGCCTGCTGATCTAATCTTTTTACAAATGGGGAAACGAGACAGAAAGAAAGAGTGGGTAGTTAAAGGTCAGCCCAGATCCATGGTGGCATGCGGTTTAAAAACTTCTAAATAAAAACTCCAAATGAGGGCCCCTGTCCATTGGACCATCACCAAAAGTAAACCGTTGTAGCAATTGTAGAATAAGATGGATATATGGAACACAAACATTTATTCCATTTTTTTTTTGTCAACACAGGAACTTATCTGGTCCTCAGACGTGATGTAATTGGACTTCCTGGCTCTGCTATTAGGCTGACTAGATTAACTGCATCAGGCACCTGATGTGAAGATCCATTATAAGACTGTAAATTATTGTATAGCCTGACCTCTTTTAGGGTAGTGGTGGGGATTGTTTTAATAAAAAGGAAGTTAGTCTTGGGACTTTATCACCCTAAATTGGGGATAGAGGTTGAAACAGACCCAAATGGACAATCATGGTAACAAAGGTTTTACATTGCTGGAACTTTTTGAGGGAGTTGTAGTACCACAAGAAGCGTGGAAAAAACTCTACATAAAAACTCCAACCATCACCCAAGTCAAAAAAAAGCACCATTAAAGCCTTGGCAGACCGTGCAAAAAGTATCTGCGAAGCCCACCTCCTCCAAGATGAACTGAACCACCTAAACTGGGCTCCACAGGCCAATGGATACTCCTCCTCAGACATCAGAAGAGCTGCAAGACCAAGAACAAGCCACGAGAATAAAGACGAAGATCCACCCAGAGGAAAAGTGTTCTTGCCATACATCAAGGGAACCACTGACCGCATAGGGAAGCTGATGAGGAAACACAACATACAAACTATCTACAGACCCACCAAGAAAATCCAACAAATGCTACGTTCAGCAAAGGACAAGAGGGATCCTCTCACTTCTGCAGGAGTCTACCGTGTACCATGCAGCTGTGGACAAGTCTACATAGGGACCACCAAACGCAGCATTGCCCAAACACGAATCAAGGAACATGAAAGGCACTGCAGACTACTTCAACCAGAGAAATCAGCCATAGCAGAGCACCTGATGAACCAACCTGGACACAGCATATTATTTGAGAACACAGAAATGCTGGACCACTCTCACAACCACCATGTCAGACTACACAGAGAAGCCATTGAAATCCACAAGCATGTGGACAATTTCAACAGAAAGGAAGAAACCATGAAAATGAACAAAATCTGGCTACCAGTATTAAAAAACTCTAAAATTACAACAGCACAACAACAGAGAGGAAACAAACAAGGACATCTAATCACCTCTCAACAAAAGTTTGCTCCAGGCACTGTCAGGCCATTATATGCTAATCAAGGTGGTCAGTTGAAACATTCACACCTAGCTCCAGCAGACAAGAGTCCTTTGTCTCACCCTAGTCATTCCACAGATATATAAACCCTTTTTCCTAGTTCCAACAGACCTCACTACCTCTGAGGATGCTTGCCATAGATGCAGGCGAAACGTCAGGAGAGAATGCCTCTAGACCATGGCCATATAGCCCGAAAAACCTACAACAACCCAGGGTGGAAAACCTCCAGATACTGGATGTTACTCATTCCAGTGGCATTTAGAAGTGAAAATGTTGTCTCTTTTTAATGCTCATTGCAAAATAACTTGGTTCTATTTGGACAGTTGCTCTTACGCACCTTCAAGTTGACTCCAACGTATGCCAACCCTATCATAGGCAAGGTATATTCAACTGTGTTTGCCATTGTCTTCCTCTGAGGCTGGGAGAGAGTGGCATGCAAAAGATTGCCTAGTGGGTTTCTATAGCTAAGAAAGGATTGAAACCATATTCTCTAGGATTGTAGTTAAACACTCAGAAGACTACGGTGGCGCAGTGGGTTAAAACCCTGTGCGGGCAGGACTGAAGACCGACAGGTTGCAGGTTCGAATCCGGGGAGAGCTCCCTCTATCAGCTCCAGCTCCTCATGCGGGGACATGAGAGAAGCCTCCCACAAGGATGATAAAAACATCAAATCATCCAGGCGTCCCCTGGGCAACGTCCTTGCAGACGGCCAATTCTCTCACACCAGAAGCGACTTGCAGTTTCTCAAGTCGCTCCTGACACGACAAAAAAAAATCATGCTGGCTTTCATACTGCCATTTGGACAGCAGGGGGCAGCAAATACTCATGAAAGCAGAAGAACAGTGGCACAGTTAATGTATTGACTGGAATATAATGTGCCATCTAATGCAGTAAGAACCTCAATTTTGGCAATGCAATTTAGGCAAAACAAGCGAGCGTTAGATTTGAGTAAATATGGTGTTATCCCAATAATCCTTATAAAAAGGCTATTGGACTTAAAGCTGAGAAGCCTCATTAGGCTATGCATAGCTCCGGAAATCATATATAATATCGTCTCTATCCAACAAATTGCTAAATTATTGTTCAGGGGGGAAAAAAATCAAAGGCATAAGGATGAGCTTGCTTGCACTATTCCTAGTAAATCAATGAAAGCTTTACCAAACGGTGGGGATAAGTTTTCACCATAATAGTACCATGAAGTGTCATATGTCTCTATTTGCAGCCAAAACAAAGGAACAAGTCTATGCGTCCAGGAACAGGTGGAATTTAAAAAAGGCTCCTGGTGAGAGACAACTGTGATATGGTGGCAAACTGTGAGTGGACGGCAATAACTATGTATATTAGCTGTCCTATCATCAAACTTGTGCCTCCTTTCAAGACTGGATTTTTCCCATTTAGGGCTTTAGCCCAACTCACCTGTCCGAATGAATCTCCCCTTATGAACCTGCAAGGACTTTAAGATCATCTGGAGAGGCCCTGCTCTCGGTCCCGCCATCATCACAAGTACGGTTGGCGGGAACAAGAGACAGGGCCTTCTCAGTGGTGGCCCCTCGGCTATGGAACACCCTTCTTAGGGAGATTAGATTGGCTTCCTCCCTCCTATCATTCCGGAAGAATCTTAAGACATAGCTGTGACGATGTGTAAGTTTTATTTCTTTGGTTATGTGTAGTTTGGACAGTGGTTTAGGGATGGTAAGTATGGGAGATTATGTTTTGTGGGAGAGGGTGGCTTGGTGTTAGCTGAGTTGCCATAGCAACAGGGGCGGAGCCAACTGCCTCTTCATGAGGCAGCTGTGTTTTAAAAAGTCAGTCAGTGGCCGGAGAGCTACTGAGAGAACACTGAGTCTCAGGGTGGAGATTCAGGGAATGTAGTTGTAAGCCGGTGAGCTACAGGAAGGGCCTGATTTCTCTAGTGGGAGAAACAGGGAGTTAGTCAGTGGCTGGAGAGCTACTGAGAGAACACTGAATCTCAGGGTGGAGATTCAGGGAATGTAGTTGTAAGCCGGTGAGCTACAGGAAGGGCCTGATTTCTCTAGTGGGAGAAACAGGGAGTTAGTCAGTGGTCGGAGAGCTACTGAGAGAACACTGAGTCTCTAGGTGGAGATTCAGGGAATGTGTCTGTAGCCAGTGTGCTATAGGGAATTCTGTGAAAATAAGCCTTTTAGCTTAGTTGTTATATTAGGGCAGTTGTCCAGAAGGGTTACATCTGCTTAAAGAAACTTCTTGAAGACTGTGCCTGAGATTACTCATGAAACATTACTATTGTAACCATCAAGATTTGTGCCTCTTTTGAAGAAACAGTTAAACTTATTATACTGCTGTTAAAATAAACTTGTTACTGTTCTCCTCAAGCCTTGCCTGATACAGTTTCTTCTAAGTTGAACAGCCTGCAATAATAAAGTCAGCCAGAAACAGTCCCTTTATAAAATAGTTCCTAGGCTGATATTGATCGTTGCCCGGCCTTCCCTCATAGATTAGGTGGCAGTGGGTGTTTTACCACTCGCACCTTCACATTTGGTGGCATTCGGTGGCATTAATACGGTCTTCTTTACAATTGGTGGCAGCAGTTTAACAACCCCTTTACAATAGCTATTTGAGCGGGCATTTGAAAATACGGAGTAACGGATATAATAATGGAATAACTATATGGTGGAACTGGACATTGTTTTAATGATTATCAATTGAAGTATGTTTCATTATAATGTTTGATTTTATTGTTGCTGATGTTTTTATATCGTATACTGTAATTGTGTCCTTGGTGGCTTGAATTCTTGCTTTGTAAACTGCCTCAAGTCGCCGGAAGGCTGAGAGGAGCAGTATAGAAATGTACTAAATAAATAAATAAATAGTCTTCAGTATAGTCCAGACCACAGGACAAAAAAAACATTTATCTACTACCAACTCCCAGAATCCCTCTTGACAGTAAGAGTGGTTCAGTAATGAA